TCTGTCAGTGCCAGCCATTGCCTTCCCCACCCACCCCCATGGCTTATGTGGGGACCCTCAGTCCAAGCAGGGGGTCTCTCTCCCCCCCTCCCAAATGTCTCTCTCAAACACACATCTCTGCACAGTGAGGCAAAGCCCTGGACCAGCCACCTCAGGCTGTGGCGGTGCCCCCTCAGGACAGCTGGGTCTCCTCTTCTTCTTCTCCCCACACACGGGGGGGGGCTGCCCACCCACCCCCATGGCTTATGTGGGGACCCTCAGTCCAAGCAGGGGGTCTCTCTCCCCCCCTCCCAAATGTCTCTCTCAAACACACATCTCTGCACAGTGAGGCAAAGCCCTGGACCAGCCACCTCAGGCTGTGGCGGTGCCCCCTCAGGACAGCTGGGTCTCCTCTTCTTCTTCTCCCCACACACGGGGGGGGGCTGCCCTGCCCTGCCCTTCCCCACAGGAACTGGCATTTGGAGAGAGACCTCACCCCCACCACGGGAGGGGGATGGGCAGAGCAGAAGGTGCCACACAGGACACCCCCGAGTCCCACACCCATGCCTCCCTCCCCTCAAAGGCTTCTTCTCCTAGCCAGGTGTGAGGCACCTCTGGCGTTTGTGGTGATTCCACCCCCCAGGCTTCTTCTCCTGGCCAGATGTGAGGCACCTCTGGCATTTGTGGTGATTCCAGCAAAAGTTGCGCGGAAATGTTGCAAAAGACACGGCAGAGGCATGTTTTCCGGCTCTGTGGCCACGCCTGGGGGGGAAATGTGACACAGCCTCCCTTGCAGAGAAGGCGGCGCACAAGAATTTTAAAATAATTGCCAGGACCCAGTGGGTAACCTTGCACATAGCATCCTCACACGCTGCCACAACTTACCCAAAATAATGAGAAGTCGAGGCTTTGCTCTAGCAAATTGCACCCGCTGCTTTTGGTCTCGTCTTCTTGCACCCACTTGTCATGGGGACTTTGCCCCAGCTGTGTACTATGTCAGCACCCCTAAAGGCACGGAAATACAGTAAGTACTGTACTTTGCAGGGATTCCTCTGTGCAACCTTATCGTCCATGAACGTTGCAGCGGGAAGTCCACACAGTTGTGAAAAGACCTTATAACTAGACTTCGCTGCAACAACTGAGCCTGTTTTGCAAGCTTATGCTGTGCACGTTACCCCATTCTTTTCTATTTTCTGTGAATTGGTCTGAGAAAAACTGCTCCGTCTATTTCTGTATTCATCACCATGGACATAGATTTCCACTTTACCCAGAAGCATGCAAGAAATATGTAGGGGGGAAAATTTGTGTTTTTTTCATTGACATGGTGACTTGAGCTGTGGATAATGATGAATCCGCCTCCTTTACTTTCAATGGCACTGGTCTTAAATCTTCTCCTGCACAGGTTTTTTTTTGTGCCATGAAGAAATGTGTAAATATTGGAGGGAAATGCAAAAGACAAATTTTGCCTAAATTTTGCTTATATGCCCAAGCCTAATTCACAGCTGTTGCCAGTTGTGCTGTACTGGCTTACTCTATAGCTGTTAAATATGAGCAGTGTCTGAAGAAAGAAGTAGGACTTCAAATTTAGGGTCACACTCTGGAGGTAAGTCGGTTTAACCAGATGATCTGTCAGTTTCACTTTCTCTGAGAGTCACATTTCTGAAGTTCTTCATATACTGTACAGTTTCAGCTGAAATCTGCAAATGTTGGTCAATTTCTACCAAACAACAACCCAAATGGAGTTCCTGTCCATTCTAGCCCTAAACAGCAGAATGATTATTTCTTATAAGATCACTTATTCTGAATTACCCCATGATATCCCTAGGAAATTTTACGCACATCGATTGGAAATTATTTTTTCTGCATTGTACAGTCCAGTTGATCTCAAGGCTCAAACTATGTAGGCCATCATGAAGCTTAATGATGGGGGAAATTTGGTTTTTAGCTTCTATGGACATTCTATTGGTCCTTTCCCAAGCTACAACAGTATTTTAATTGGAGCTCTGAATTGTGTTGACCCATATTGGTGGGGCACCACACTTAATCAGTACGGCCAAGAAAATGTGTCGCACACTTGGTAATCCATCCCTATTGGGATTTCACTTAACTTTTCTAAACACTGGCGTAAGCAAAACAAACCAACCCTCCAACCCAGTGTTACTTAATTGCTTTTACCAGCTTAGCAACACTGACACAAACTACTGTTATACTGTATAAATGTTTCTGAAAACTCATTAAAAATTTGTCACCCTCATCTTTGAAGGACCACATCTAACCACATCCAGTCAGCTTCATTTCGATGAGGCTTCACGCCCTTAGTGTTGTGAGCTGTTTGGAAAAGTCCCAGCTGCCCATCCATAAGGATACTGTTGCAAATTCAAAAACATTCAGTCCAAATTGTAGTTGTTTGGCATACTTGGAATGCTTTGCACAAGGGGTAAGGATACACCAAGCTGTTTGTTGTCCTAACATTCTGTTACTGTCTGAAATTAGTATTTTGTCCCTGTAGTTGTTCTTTCTGTGCAGGCACTCAGATGACTATGCAGTCT